AGAGAAATTGATCTGCAAGCCTCCATGTAGGAAACAATGAGAATAAAGTATGTTTACCCAGGGAGACCTTGGAGCACTGCTCTGCAGGATGTTATTAGACATTCCATGAAAAAGAAATTGCTTCATGAGGATGTAAATTTGTGAAACACTGGGCTGAACAAAGTGAATTGGCTTCCTTACTTTAGAAAGTCTCAAAATTCTTAATAGGCTGATTGCAGAGAATCCCCTCAAGGGAGGATATAACATGCAGTGTTTTCCAAGCTCGTTTGACCATGCAATCCTCCTTATTAAATGAGATTTTTGAAGAATCAGTGTTTAGAGAACTATATTTTGGGGAATTCCAGGAGCACAAGGATCAGCGTGGACCAGGGTAGTCAGGGAAGGCTTACTGGGGAAGGAGGTGCTTCAGTTACATTCAAAGACAGGAGGATTAGGAGAATTAGATGAGAGCAGGGAAGCCATCCCAAATGAATCACTGGAGAAAGCACCAAATAGTAATATTATAGCACATATGAGTGAGAAGACTTATATTGGTCAAGACTCCAGTGGAGACAAGCATCAGAAGTGCAATTCAGGCTGGCTTAGGCAAAAAAAGGGAATTTATTGGTCCATGTAACTGATTTCAGGTGTGGCTGGATCTAGGTGCTTGAACCATGCCCTCGGGGATAAGTACTGCCTTTGTTCATAGCCTCTTTTCTGGAGGAGGAGGGCCTGGCATGTCCAGGCTCCCACACTGCCAGCTAGCAAGCTCAGCAGGAAGTGAGATGCTTCTGTACAATTGTTTCCACCAAAGTCCCAGGATGAACTCTCATTGACTCTTCTTGGGTCATGTGTTCACTCTGGTACCAATCACTACAGCCGAGGGCATTTGGTGCCCTGATGGCCAGCTCCTTAGAAACCATAGCACCCCATCCTCTGACAGATGGAGAAATGGGAGCCCAGAGAGGGAAAATGACTTACCCAAGGTCTCAGAGCTGGTGAATGGCAGCATTGAAGACAGGAACTTTCAGCTCAGGGATCTTTCTGCTACAGGCAGAAAGGCACCAGCTGGTGCCTGAGGGCTGCTTAGATCAGCATGGGCCACACCGAATGCCTGCTGGCTTCTTCATACTGAATGCGGTGGTGGGATCCTGCCTGGAGAAGAGGATACCAAGGACCAGAGTTCCAAGGCCTTGAAGGAGCAGACAGGCTATAGGAATAGCTGGGTGACTGAGTTGACTGTGAGCATGTTTAGGGTGGGCTGTGGTCGGGGAAGGCAAAGAGAAGCCAGGTCTCCCTGGTCCCTAGGGGCAACGAGTGGGAGAGAGGGATTGTGCGGGGTGATCTGTCCACATGGGGTTTGTCTGAGGCCTGGGGTGTCTGGCCAACTCTTCCTTCTCCCTGAGTTTCTATAGGTGTTTGATTCTACCGTCTCAATATCTGTAAACAATCCACTTCTCTCTGCTTCTGCTGCTGCTGCTCCTGCTAAGTCACTTCAGTTGTGTCCGACTCTGTGCGACCCCATAGACAGCAGCCTACCAGGCTCCTCTGTCCCTGGGATTCTCCAGGCAAGAATACTGGAATGGGTTGCCATTTCCTTCTCCAATGCACGCATGCAGGCTAAGTCACTTCAGTCGTGTCCAACTCTGTGTGACCCCATGGACAGCAGCCCACAAGGCTCCTCTGTCCATGGGATTCTCCAGGCAAGAATACTGGAGTGGGTTGCCATTTCCTTATCCCCTCTCTGCTTCTACTGACTCCATTCTAGCCCAAGTTACTGTCATTTTGCGCCTGGCTGCTGGCAACAGTCTTTTAAATGGCCTCACATTCCCCTTCCTGCTGCCCCCCCCGCCCCCGCCCCCGATCTATTCTCTACATGACAATCTGGGTGCATTTTTAAAAACTCAAGTAAGAGATTGTCACTAAGATTTTCGATGACTCTCCACTGCCTTCGAGATGAAACCCAAACTGCGGTCCCTCACCCCTCTCCTGTCTCTTCACAGGGAATCGTCCCCATTGCACTCCAGACACAGGGGCTTCTCCTTTGAAGACGTTTCCCCTTGAATGAACTACATCCCTTGTGCGTGTGCTGTTCCTTCTGCCTGGAACTCCCCTCTCCCCTCTTCCGTTGGCTAAATCCTGACCCTCATTCCGACTTTGGCTCAATGTCCCTCCCTTTCCTTGAAGAAATCTTTCCTAATGTCTTCCTTAAGACTGAACTTGGTCCCCCTGCTACAGCCCCCACAGAGCCACCTTCCTGGGAGGTGAGGAAACTGTGGTTCCGAGAAGGAAGGGACTCATCAGAGGTCACACGACTGGTAGATGGTAGAGCTCAGTTAAGTTTATTTCAATAAATATGAGCTGAGCACCTACCATGGGCCAGTCCCTGTGGTTATGATGGCAAATCAGACTAGGTCTCCTGCCCCAGAGGAGCTCTCAGAGCAGCAGGGGACACAGACCTGCAAACCTGGCTGAGGACAGCGGCTGAGGGACCTGAGAGATGGGGCTCCAGGCCTAATCTCAGGGAGACATGGAAATCTCCTGGATGGGACGATGTCTGAGCTGAGACGATGGGAAGATGCCCAAGCACATGTGCAGTCATTTGTGTACTCACTGAATGAATATGCACACTGCATCTTTTGGGACGTAGAGTCATGTGCATGTGTGTGAGGAGACGGTAGAATGAATTGACATCTCTATCCTTGTAACTTATGTAATATTGTACATCATCCATACTTCAACAACAAAAAAATAAAAAAGGATGAACTGACATCCACTAACATGCATGTGATTGTCAACACGTATGCAAGAAATGGTTTTCTGCAGACATGCACATAAACAGATGCATTCATGAAAGGATATGTCTGTGAGTGTGATGATGGATTTGCACTGTGTATACAGGCACATCCAGGTGTATCATAGTGGAACCAGCTTACTTGTTCTAACCTTGGCTCTGTCATTTATCTGTCCTGGGCAAGTTAACCCTCCATCAGCTTCGTTGATCAAATGGGGAAAATAATAGTTCTTTAGGAGCAGGGCCCGAGGCAGGCATCCTTATGCCTGTGATTATGTAGAGGGGACTTGAAAGGGAGTGAAGGAAACAGGGTGGAGCTGGAGAAGCTGCTGAGCTGAGATGGATCCTGCTTCAGCTGAAGTCTAGTCTTAGCCTGGTCCCAGGGGGAGGCCTGGAGCATGAAGGACGCCACAGAGTCGACTCAATGAGGGAAGGGGGTCAGCCCTTGCCCGCCAGTCATTGACTGTGTCCCCCCGACCCTCCGCCTGGAGGAGGAAGTAACCCCCAGGCCTTTTCTGGTGAGACAGCTTGGGTTGGCTGAGGGCGGTGTTCGAGAGAGTGGGCAGATGTGAGCTGCTGGGAGCCCATGGCACAGCAGTTGGGGGCTAGTGTGCAAATAGCCTTCTCCAAACGAGGTCCTGGGAGCCCCTGGCATCAGCCTCCTCGGGGAACTTGCTAGAATGCCCTAGCCCCCACCTGCTGACTCAGATTCTGCGACAGGATCCCCAGCCCTTGAGCACAGGAAAGTTGAAGAAGCGACTGTTCGCACTGGCCTCAGGGGATCGCTGTGAGGGCTGGACGAGACGAAGGCGCGGAAAGCAGCCCTTGAAGGAGCGTCCGGTCCACAGTATCTGCTGTGGTTCTGGTTTGCGTCCAGCTGTGTTGTGTGTGTTTGCTTACCCAGATTCTTAAATGTGCAATGACACGAGTGCCGGGAGGAGAGGCTATATCACTGGCAGAATTCAGTGCAAAACGAGATGTGGGCCCTTTGTTCAAAAATCAGACAGCAGACAGCCTTGGACCAGGCTCCCAGGCCCTTGTGAACTTAGGACGGTGGGTGACCGCATCGCGGGCAGGCAGTGCAGAATGTGGGTGAGGATGCGCCTGACTGAGGCCTTGCTGATGCCTTCCTACCGTGATTTGGCCCATCCTTCAGGTTTTACAGGTGAGGCACGCCTGGGGGCGGGGTGCCGGACAGGGGATTGGACCCCCATCTCCCGTTTCCCCGGTTCCGCCGGCCACGCTCCACCAGCACGAGTCTGAGCGAACTTGACTCCGGGGAACGGCTGAGAACTCGCAGCCCAGAAAAGCTCTCTCACGTTTGCACACTGTGAAGAGACTTTTGAGTACGTTCCCCTGTGCATCGTGGGTCTCCATTCCCAGGGAGCGCTCTCCGCTCGGGAAGGGGTGTGAAATTTAATTTGCACTAATTATCCCGAAGTGAGAGGAGCGGGAAATGAGTTGGCTCTGCACGTTCGGCCTCTTCCAGCAGCTCCAGTTCCCGGGCGGCAGTTTATTTATGTGCGAGCGGTGGGGGCTGGGGTAGGGTGGGGTGCTGTTACCAAGGCAACGGCAGCCGCTGGGACTGGGGGGTGGTGGCGGCGGGGTGGGAAGGCCAGATGGAGGGAGGGGAGGGAGGCAGGGAGGGCTGGGGCGGGATTGGGGCGCGTGTCCTTCCTTGCGGTGGTGTAGGGGTCTTCTGCCTAGCCCCCTCCTCACCCTCCATCTCTAATGGGGGAGGGGAGAGGAGGGGCAGAGAGGGAAGGAGGTCCTTTTCTGCGTTACGCGCGGGAGGGCTTTGGCAGCTCCATCCCAGGAGACAGACGGATGACCCAGTCTGGACGGAGAGAAGGTTTCAGTGGTTCTCTAGGGGCAGGGCCGTCCTTCTGAGGCCCCCAGGGTCAGGGCTGAGCCCGAGGGCAGAAACCCAAAGAGGCGGCTAGCCGAGGGCACCCTGGAAGGGGAGAAGGTGGGACCCTGGAGCCAAGGGCAAAATGCCCTGCCAGCCTCCTCCGGTTCCTTTCCACCCACTTTCTCTGCTCCAACCCTCGCCCTTCTCTCCGCCCCTCCCCCTACCCTTTGTCTCTCCCTAGAGACGCTCTTTCCTGCCACCACTAGAGGGCGCCGAGGCGCCACGGTCGCCCCCGTCCATCAGCCTCAGGACTGGCTGAGGGGCGCCTTGATAGGGTGGGTGGAGCAGGGGGCGGAGGCCCCGCAGCAACTGGGGTTCTCAGTAGAACTGGGCTGATTCTGGCTTGTTCATATCCTGGGGCAGGTCTCGGCTGGCCCTCCAGGGCGAAGGATGTTACAAAACCCAACCCCCTAACAGCTGTCAAGGGAGGGGGTTTGGAGGGGAGGGCATACGCCCTTGGCACCTGGGAGGAGGGTGCCGTGGTTTCCTTCCCCGCCCTCTCCCCTCCTGACGTGCGGTGTGCGCTGGGGCAAGTCTCAGCATCTCTCCGAGTTCCGGGAAGTGGGGGCAACCAGCCCACTTCAGAGGGGGAGTGGGTAGAAGAACACACAGGAGCAGAGGCATGGCAGGCTGTCCAGTGGGAGCTCAGAGTGAAGTGACTTTCCCAAGATCGTATAAGTATGGAAGAGCATATCCAAAATTAGACACCAAATCTGTCTGAATCCAAATCTGTCCTCCTGTTAATGATGCATGTGGACCTGCTACCACTTTTCCTAGTTGTTATTGAAGTAACGGTTTTTCCAGTGGTCATGCACAGATGTGAAAGTTGGACCATAAAGAAAGTTAAGCGCCAAAGAATTGATGCTTTTGAGCTGTGGTGTTGGAGAAGACTCTTGAGAGTCCCTTGGACTGCAAGGAGATCCAACCAGTCCATCCTAAAGGAGATCAGTCCTGGGTGTTCATTGGAAGGATGGATGCTGAAGCTGAAACTCCAATACTTTGGCCACCTCATGCGAAGAGCTGACTCATTTGAAAGGACCATGATGCTGGGAAAGATTGAAGGCAGGAGGAGAAGGGGATGACAGAGGATGAGATGGTTGGATGGCACCACCGACTCAATGGGCGTGAGTTTGCATAAACTCCAAGAGCTGGTGATGGACAGGGAGGCCTGGCGTGCTGCAGTCCATGGGGTTGCAAAGAGTTGGACATGACTGAGCGACTGAACTGAACTGAATTGAAGTAATAACTGGGCAGCAGCTGAGTAGCATGTGGCAAGAGGAGAGGGAAACGGATTCTCTGTCTGCTTTAAAACATAAAGATTGTGAGAAGTGGGTGCCTATCAGTCACTTACTCTTTAGTACAAATTAGTAGCATCTTTCCTGGCCGTGAGACTGAGCGTAAGAGGAGACAGTAATAAGGGTGCATGTATGGCAGCGGCAGGAGGGCATTGGCCCCACCAGCAGGTTGGAGAGAAGGCGCTGCTACTAATCTGCCATGTGACCTCAGCCCGGCCCTTTCTCTTTGAGGGTGTTGTCTCTCACTTATACAATAAGGATACCGAACTGGATACACCACGGTCTCTTCCAGATTAGAGAACTGATGTAGGCGTCTTTCTCCTGGGGGTCTGGTGTGGGGCAGAAGTTCTTTAGTCACTCAGTCGTGTCCAACTCCTTGTGACCCCATGGACTGCGGCATACCAGGCTTCTCTGTCCTTCACTGTCTCCCAGAATTTGCTCTAACTTGTGTCCATTGAGTCAGTGATGCCCTTGAAGCACCTCATCCTCTGTCGTCCCCTTCTCCTCCTGTCCTCAATCTTTCCCAACATCAGGGTCTTTTCCAGTGAGTCAGCTGTTTGCATCAGGTGGCCAAAAGTATTGGAACTTCAGCTTCAGCGTCAGTCCTTCCAATGAATATTCAGGACTGATTTCCTTTAGGATTAACTGGTTTGATCTCCTTACTGTCCAAGGGACTGTCAAGAATCTTCCCCAGCACCACAGTATGAAAACATTAATTCTTCAGCACCAAGTCTTCTTTATGGTCCAACTCTCACACCTGTACATAACTATGGGGAAAAAACCATAGCTTTGACTAGATGGACCTTTGTTGGCAAAGTGATGTCTCTGCTGTCTAGGTTTGTTATAACTTTTTCCCAAGGGGCTTCCCAGGTGATGCTAGTGATAATGCTATTATGAACATTTGTGTACAAGTTTTTGTGTGGACATATGTTTTCGTTTCTTTTGGTATACTATACCCAGGAGTGGAATTACTGGGTGGGCTCCTGGGTGGTGTTAGTGGTAAAGAGCCTGTCTGACAATGCAGGAGATATAAGAGACGTGGGTTCTATTCTTGGGTTAGGAAGATCCCCTGGAGGAGGGTATGGCAACCCAATCCAGTATTCTTGCCTGGAGAATTCCATGGACAGAAGAGCCTGGCAGACTACAGTCCATGGGGTCGAAAAGAGTTGGACATGGCTGAGCGACTTTCAGGGTAACTTTACAGGGCTTCCCTTATAGCTCAGTCGGTAAAGAATACACCTACAATGCAGGAGACCCAGGTTTGTAACCTGGGTCAGGAAGATCTCCTGGAGAAGGAAATGGCAACCTGCTGCAGTATTCTTGCCTGGGAAATCCCATGGACAGAGGAGCCTGGTGGGCTACAGTCCATGGGGTTGCAACAGTCAGACACAACTTGGTTAGTAAACCACCACCAGGGTAACTTCACGTTTAGGCTTTTGAGGAAATGCAAGACTTTTTCCATAGCAGGGTGTGCCATTTTACATTCCCACTGGCAATGTATAAGGTTTCCATTTTTTTCAGATCTTTGTCAGTGTTTATTATATTCTGACTCTTTGATTACAGCCATTCTAATGGGTTTGAAATGGTTGTCACATTGTAGTTTCATTTTGCGTTCCCATGATTGCTAATTATGTTGATTATATTTTGTGTGTTTTTGGACATTTGTATATCTTCTTGGGAGAAATGTCTATTCAGATCCTTTGATAGTGAAAGTGAAAGTTGCTCAGTTGTGTCTGAATCTTTGTGACCCCATGGACTGTATAGTCCTTGGAATTCTCCAGGCCAGAATACTGGAGTGGGTAGCCTTCCCCTCTCCAGGAGATCTCCCCAAGCTAGGGATCGAACCCAGGTCTCCCACAATGCAGGCAGATTCTATACCAGCTGAGCCACAAGGAAAGCCCAAGAATACTGGAGTGGGTAGTCTATCCCTTCTCCAGGGGATCCTCCCGACCCAGGAATTGAACCAGGGTCTCCTGCATTGCAGGCGGATTCTTTACCAACTGAGCTATGAGGGAAACTTACTCCCTTTAATTTGGATTATTTTGCCTTTTATAATTGAGTTGTAGTGGGAGACCTGGGTTCAATCCCTGGATTGGGAAGATCCTCTGGAGAAGGGAAAGGCTACCCACTCCAGAAGTGTTTTTTTATATATTCTAGATATAAGTCCCTTATCAGACATATAGTTTACAAAGATTTTCTCCCAAGGAAGTGAAGGGTTTTTTCACTTCCTTGACAGCGTCCTTTGAACACAAAAGGTTTTAATTTAGATGAAGTCCAACTTACTTGTTCTTTTTCTTATTGTTGTTGCTTTTGGTATCACATTTAAGAATCTATTGCCAAATTCAAAGTACCCCAATATTTTTTTCTAAAAGTTATATAATTTTGGGTCTTACATTTAGATCTTTGATCCACTTTGAGTTAACTTCTTGGTGTGTATGTTGTGAGGTGTGAGTCAACCTTCATTCTTTTCCATATCGCTATCCAGTTGTCCCAGCACCATTTGTTGATGAGACAGTTCTTTCCCCACTGAATGGTCCTAGTATTCCTGTCAAAAATCAGTTGACCATATGGGACTCCTCTGACGGTCCAGTGGTTAGGATTTGCGCTTCCACTGCAGGGGGCCTGGGTTTGATCCCTGATAGGGAGCTCAGGCCCCACATGCTGTGCAGTGTGGCCAAATAAGAAAAAGAAAGAAAGAAAGAAAAATCAATTAATCATAGATGTATGAGTTTTTTCCTGGACTCTCAATTCCATTCCACTGGCATATATGTCTATCCTATGTCAATATGACACTGTTTTGATTCCTATAGCTTTGAAGTAAGTTTTGAAATTAGAAACTGTAATTCCTCCAACAAAGTTCAAAACTTTGTTCTTTTTTCAAGATAGTTTGCTGTCCCTGGTGGTCTTGTGGTTAGGATTCGGTATTCTCTCTCAAGGTAGTTTGACTCTTTGAGGTCTCTTGCAATTCCATGCGAATTTTAGGGTTAGATTTCCCATTTCTGCAAGAAATGCCATTGACATTCTGATAGGCATTACACTATGTTTATAGATCAGTTTGGGTAGTAATGCCATCTTAATTATATTAAATTTTATGATCCATGAACGTATGACATCTCGAGATTTATGTAGGTCTTTTCTATTTTCAAACAATGCTTTATGGTTTTCAGATGATAGATTTTGCCTTTATTTTGTTAAATTTATTCCTAAGTATTCTATTCTTTTAGATGCTAATGAAAATGGAACTCTACCTTAATTTTAGTTTTGAACTTTTCCCTGCAAGTGTATAAAAATACAGATGATTTTGGGTGGGCATTTTGTATCCTGCGACTGTGCTGAGCCTGTTAGTCCTTTTAGTTTTCAGCAGGTTCCTCAGGGTTTTCTTTACACAGGATCATGTCATCTGTGAATTGAGGTGTTTTACTCCTGCCTTCTTCGCTGCCTTCCACCTTTCTCTCCTTCCTTCCTTCCTTCCTCTTTCCTTTTCCTGGACTAATACTCTGGACTAATTAGATTCTCTAGTACAATGTTGAATAGAAGTGGTGAGAGTGGATAGTCCTGTCTTGTTCCTGATAGTAAGGGGGAAACATCCAGTATTTCACCGTTAAGTATTATGTTAACTGTGGATTTTTCATAGATATCCTTCAGCAGGTTGAAGAAGTTCCCTTCTATTCCCAGTTTTTTGAAAATTTTTTTTTGTCATAAAAGGATGTTGGATTTTATTAAGTGCCTTTTCTGTGTTTATTGAAATTATCATGTAATTTTTTTTGCATCTTCAACATCATTGCTTTTTAAATTTGCAGTATGATTGGTGTACAATATTATATAATTTACAGGTGTATAATGCAGTGATTCACAGTTTTTATAGGTTATACACCCTTTATGGTTATTATGATATATTGACTATATTCCTTGTGTTGTACAATATGTCCTTGTAACTAATTTTATGCATAATAGTTTGTACCTCTTAATCCCTGTGCCTTTATCACCCCTCTCCCTTCCCTTTCCCCTCTGGTAAGGATTAGCTTATATCTGTGAGTCTTTCTTTTTTGGTATATTCATTACTTTGTTTTTTTAGATTATACATATTAGTGATATCATTCAGTATTTGTCTTTCTCTGTCTGACTTATTTCACGTAGCATAATACCCTCTAAGTCCAGATGATCTTGTGATTTTAAAATATTTTTATTGATATGATGTATTACATTAATTGATTTTTCGGATGTTATACCAGCCTTGCATTCCTCAAATAAATTCTACTTGGTCATGGTGTATACTACTTTTTATACACTGTTGGATTTGGTTTATTAGCATTTTATTGAGGATTTTGAATCGATGCATAAGAGATATTGGTCTGTAGTTTTCTTTTTTGTGATGTCTTTGGT